GCTTGGCTACCAGTTTCATTGCCGACCCCCATCCAATCCTTGCGTTTATGTCGTCGTCGTGGGCGAGGTTTGAGCTGCCTTTTCTGCCGTCTACTTGCCGTTATGCCTCATACCACCGCCAATATGCCGTTCACGTAGTCCGGTCTTGCTCTTGTACCACCTCGTATCAAATAAAACCAACTTTCCAATTTGTACTTGTCATCAAGTCAAGCTGCTCCCATTTAAAATAGATTGACATCAATTTCATCTACCAGGCCTCAGCTATCATAGTTTCACGCCCAGTGCCAGTCCTTGAGAGACAAATCTCCGCTCAGCGCCGAAGGTCCCTCAAATCGATCAAACCACTTGTCTATATTGCGCCACTTGGTAACCACCACACTCCTAGAAGACCCCTCACACTTGGCCCTCAGTTCAAAAGCTAAAACCAAAAAAATTAGCACCACATGGTATATGGAAACGGACTGGGCGTACACATACTTGCGACCTTCCACGGATCAGCCCAGTGGCTTTTCCCCTCCCTCGAGTAGAGCATGACTTGGCGAACGTCCAGGGCGGAAACGGGAGAGCTTCCAAACTCGTTCTGGAGATCAAGCGTCTTGTCGATGACGTCGCCGTGCGAGGGGGCCGTGGCGAGCAGGATGACGTGCTTGGGGAACATTTCGTTGCTAAAGTCGAGCACCAGCTCGTCGTTGGTGCCGGCGGTCAGGGCGGAGATGCCCGAGCCGAGTTCCAGGTGTGCCTCCATCGACTTGAACTTGGTGCAGGCGTTGGACTGCCCGATGGGCATGACGGCGATTGTGTCTGTCTTTTCGTCGGGGTGCTGCCACTTCCAGTCGCTTACGGCAATGCTGCCTGTGAAGTGGGGTGGTTCGTTTCCTGTAATGTCGCCGAAGCGGTTGAACCAGTCGTAAATATCGTCGTACTTGTTTGTGATGACCTTTCGCGATGACTCGTCGCATGTCGCGGTGATGGAAATGCCTACTCGATGCTGGGTTAGGACAAGGTCGTCTTCTGGTCAACTTGCAAGGGTTGGTACATGCCTCCAATCTCCCATGAGTCTGGGTTCGTCCGCTCATCTCGTACCGAGTATACTTTGAACGATTTGACATCCTCGACCTTGACTCGCTTCAAGCCAAAGGCCTTCTCGAGGTCGATTGGTTTTGTGGACTCTTCGCCCTTGGAGGGATGGACCAAGATTGTCTGGTGGCTGTTGCCGAACTCGATGACGAGATCGTCAAAGGTGCCGGCGCCGTCGAAGCCAGAGATGCCGTTTCCGAGAAACAGCTTCACCTCGAGAGACTTGAAGTAGTCGCATGTCTCGGGGCCGGGGTGCCAGCCGCCCTGCTCCGGGCGTGTGCAGTATTGCGACGATTCCTGCTTCTCGCACGTGTTTTTCCCTGCGTAGCCCCAGGTTGTTGGATCTACACCTAGCTTTGTAGCCATGGTATCGATCAGCTCTGAGCATTGTCCATTCGCATTACTCTGTGCTGTGGCGCCTTGGAGCCATAGCACAGATAGGCCTGCAGCCCAGCTAAAGTAGATCATGGTTTTGCAGATGGAAAAATGTGGAATGGGGCAGAAGTAGGAGTCCCAATGCTGAAGAGTTTCGAGTTATTGTAGAGATGGGAATGGCAGCGCAGTTTATATATTTCAAGACACGAGAGCCGAGGCATGGAATGGCGCGATTTTGGCGACAGCTGCAATTACCATGCACGTCTGGAACACGGCATACATTCAATGTATTTGCATGAGGAGATTCTTAGTACAGTTAATTGTAGCACCCTGCAATAGGACCTAGACTTACAAGATCTTCTATAGGAAAGAGAAACACCATCATCCCCACATAGTATCTCGTGATTGCTAGAGATGCTTAATTATTAAGTTATTGCATCATGTGGCCATTTGCATAGGCCTTGCCAAGATGAAAACCAATATATCCAATGCCGAGATAAGGTCTCTCCGTTTTGACTGATGGACGTCTGACCGCCGAAATCGACATGACGGCGAGCCCAATCCGGGTGGGATGTGATACGAGTCATCCCAATGGGGGTGGGGAGTGGCATGAGTGGTTGCCTGTGCAGCCTGGGGACTTGACACCTTCCAATGCCTCCTTGCAGACTATACCAGTCTATGCTATACTCTTATCTATATTTTCCCGAGTATAACCCGAGACTATTACTACTACAACTATCTATGAGAGCGGAGCCATATTACTGGAGACCGCCATATCTTCCTGAGATACCATAGGATAATCACGATCATAAGACAAGAAGTTTGATGTAGTAAAGAAGTAAGTTGCAGAGAGCTGGATAAAAAAGAAAATCAATAGTAAGAAGAATACCAGGGCTCAGCCAGACCCACCCAATACCTTCTATTTTGCTGGGCAAGGTATTATGCATTGACGCAAGGATATAACGTAACGATATAGGTCCACATATATGATAGTTAAATAAGCTCAATATATATAATAATGCCAATTAGCACCAGTGTCTTGTCAAGTTTTTCGACTCATGTAAGAAGTACCCCATGTAGACTTTGCATTGCGATAATGCGACAATGGCTCGAGAGATATACCGAGGATTTTATTAACAGCAGACATGCGAATATGAAAGCACGGCCTATACGTCTAATCCTTGGATGATACTCGCCTAGGTCCTTGACGGCAGTTACCGAGTTAGCCCGTCTGGGCTCATCATGAGACCAAATCACGCCAACCCATCAGTGGGAACAAAAGTATGAAGACGCATTAAGATTGGGGCGAAATAGGAAGAGTGTATGCAACGACACGAAATATGCCATCCAACGACTGGACTTGCAGCACGCGCAAAAATACGTCTCGGCCACAAATATAAATATCCAGTTCAAGACTCTTCATTGCACTACTTGTCAGACACCGCCAGTGTCACGAATCCGCTAAACTCCCTGATGCCCAGTCACCCCCCGTCTTCTACAGATTGACCACCTGCCCAAGATATATTTTATTCCCCCCCCTTCTGAGGCTTCATACATCGCCATGATGCTGCCCAAGGCCGCCTGGCTTCTCACCTGCTGGCTATGGCACACAGCCGTGGAGGCAACCCCAACCACCACGCCCCGACCACTGCCTACATTTCCCGTCTCCATGGCAGAGCACGGCGAGGTATTCCTAGTCATTCCCGAAGGGCCCAGGGCCCTCGGAACGCCCGGCTACTTCCGGAGTCAGGGCGGCATCAGCGAAGGTTCGCTGCCTGCGCCCGATGCCGAAACAGCAGCCGAGTGGCAGCGCCTCCGCAACATCAGACCCGACGACAGCGAGGACTCGATTGACTTTGAAGACTTGTCCCTCGTCCTCATGAGCCTTCTGCCGGATGAGGCAGCCGCGCGACGCCAGGCCTGGATGATGCTCGATCAGCGCCGGCAGCCGGCTCAAGCAGAGCGCGTCTGGATATTCCGCATCGCAACAGGACCCAACGTGTGGCTGGGGGAGTGGCAAGATATTCTCGGCAACCCCATGTCCATGTCCCGCGCGCTTGGGGGCCTACCCTGGTCGCAAATCATCAACTTTACCGAGTTGGACGGATCGAATGCCGATGTGAGAAACTTGTTTGAGACCTTGACCGAGAGGGACCCCGTTGTTCCGCCGGTGGTGGCTACAATGGAGCTCTCCTGGATGAACAATGACGATTACGATGCGGCGTGGCAGAATTACGGTAGTGTCAGGGGAATACCGCACCGGGTGTTCGATGCCCCTGAGGGCATGACGCGCATGGAGATGGCGAGGGACCTGATGGCCCTGGTGACGAGTAGCCGGGTCGTGCCTGACGCGCAGCGACGCCAGGAGTTGCGCGAGTTGCTGGACTGGGATATTGATGCTGAGCCTGGGCGTGATTTCCCGCTTCTTCGGCACGGACAGCGTACGTATATATTTTGCATTGTTTGTCACGGTGTGAAGGTTGATGCTAATACGTTGGTGTAGCTACGACGCTGGAGGCTGCTGCGTTGTCGCGGATTCCATGGGGACAAGTGCAGATCCCGGCCAATATTCAGCTAGCACTGGCATCGGGGCTTATCACCGTTGGCCAATGCGGCACGGCATTGAGACAGATTAGGGATGCTGTCAATAAGGGTCCAAAGGGCAAGAGAGGCGTAGTGTGGTAGAAACGGTTCCTATCTTGTTATGTAGATGGCTTGAGTTGGGAGTGTGCCCGCCTTTGGAACCTTTTAGTCTCGTGAATAAAGGCTTTTATTGGACGAGGCTACTCTTTTTTAATTGAATGAGTAGTAGACTTGGACGTAATTGCTGGGTTACAGGTTCAAAGGCCTGCTAGCTGTGGTAGTTTTATCATGTAGCTGGCAAAGGGTTTCGACTCTTTACAAATATGAATTATTCTGGCAGAGAGTCCGAAAGAGTGCGAATGACTTCCAGCATCAATTTAGTTAACACCAAGTCTTATGGCGTCAATGTTTTATTGAAGTCCTCCAGACGGTTCCTCAACCCCGTTACCACCACATATAGCTTACTCGGCATTAAACAGTTGTTTCATCACAGCATATACAAACCATTGGCGAAAAGATTAAAATGCCAACCAAGCCAACGCAGTACATACCTTTACTTCTAACTACTATACGAGGAATATTTCAGAATAAACAATTGCTCTTCGTGAATAAGGCTCTGCACACGAGTTTCGTAATTCATTACCCCCAGAGTACAAAGTAGTCCTTGTCTTTTTTATGTAAGCGAGCCGACGACCTCTTAGGTGTTGTAACATAAATATATATGCCTACAAGTAGTTACAGCAAGTAGGCCTCGTCGGCATCACCGCAACGTAAACGCCTCGTCTTGAGCAAAATCGAGGCCTGGTTCGGCGGAAAGAATAGCACCTCCAGTATTCTGTAAGTATTGAAGAGGAGAGGGTAAAGCTATTATTGATATGCTATTTTTCTACTCTTGTAATAGCAGACACATTCCCAATATGAGGTGCTAATATGAAGGATGAGAAATCCCCTTAGTACTAGAATTGCTAACTTATACTAGTATATTGCGATAAACTCGCCTTCAGCAACTTCACGATGTTCTCATGCCCATACTCAGCGGCTAATTCCAACGCCGAACCTTCCATCCAATCCTTTGCATTTACATCGGCGCCGTTAGCGAGCAGCAGCTTGACGGTCGTATCGTGTCCATTTAAGGTGGCATATATCAAGGCTGTCCTGCCATCCTCATCCTTGGCATTAATACAAGCGCCATTCTTAAGGAGCAATTCCACGATGTTCTCATGCCCACACTCAGCGGCTAGGTGTAATGCCGAACCCCTCGAGACCTGATCCTTCACATTTACATCAGCGCCGTTAGCGAGCAGCAGCTTGACGGTCGTATCGTGCCCGTTAATGACAGCGTGCATCAGGGCTGTCCTGCCGTAGTCATTCTTGGCATTAATACAAGCGCCATTCTTGAGGAGCAACTCCACACACGTGTCTTGACCATGTTGAGCAGCGCATATTAGCGCTGTGTCGCCCTTCTTGCTCACCGTATTTATATTAGCGCCTTTCTCAATAAGCAGCTTTGTTGTGACCTCGTGACCGTTTTGAATAGCGCCTATTATAGCTGTCCAGCCCTCCTCGTCCTCCGTATTCACATTGGCGCCTCTCTCAATAAGCAGCTTTACTATAATATTATGACCAGAATTAGCAGCGCTTATTAGCGCTGTGCCGCTATGCTTATTACTCGCATTTATATTGGCGCCTTTCTCAATAAGCAGCTTTATTATGACCTCGTAACCGTTTTTAGCAGCGTATATTAGCGCTGTGTTACCCATATTATTCGCCGTATTCACATTAGCGCCTTTCTCAATAAGCAGCTTTATTATGACCTCGTAACCGTTTTTAGCAGCGTATATTAGCGCTGTGTTACCCTCATTATTCGCCGCATTCACATTAGCGCCTTTCTTGATAAGCAGCTTTGCTGTGACCTCGTGACCATAGCTGGCAGCGCAAATTAGCGCTGTCAAGCCCTCCTCGCCCGCCGCATTCACGTTGGCGCCGTGTTCAATAAGCGGCTTTACTATAACGTGATGACCACTGTTAGCAGCAAATATTAGCGCTGTGTTGCCATGCTCGTCCACCGCATTCACATCGGCGCCGTGTTCAATAAGCAGTTTCGCTTCTGTATCATACCCAAAGAAGGCGGCTCTTAGTAGCGCTGTAAAGCCCTCCTCGTCCTTCTCATCCACATTACCCTTCTTGGCGAGTAGCAGTTTCAGAATCGTACCGTTTCCACAGTCCACCGCACGAATTAGCGGTTTCTGGCTATTGCTAGACTTCACATTAACCTTGGAGCCCTTCTCAAGGAGCAGCTGAACCAATGGCTCGTGCCCCCGATCGATGGCATAGAGAAGCGGAGTGTTGCCCAAATCATCCTCTTCCTTTTTTAGGACCCTTGAGAGTATCGAAAAGCGGCGGCCCGACAAGATTTTTCGAGCCAGCCACTCGATCCCGAGAAAGGAAGCCAAGTGTAATAACGGTAGCTTAGGAAGTCGGCCTGAAGGCATGAAGTCTATGGGCATAGGTGTTTCAAGTGCCCACCAATATGACACCCACCAATATGTCCGCAAGTTAGATTGCTTGCGGAACATGGGTCGTGAAAGGTCCAAGTGCTTCTCCCCGTATGTAGAAGAATGTCTTGCATGTTCTGGCCACCATTGCAATGCGTAGTCCAAGAGAGGCGACTTCTGCAGGTCCAACGCGTCAGATACGGGCCCATTACGCAGATCGCTGCTCTCAATGCAATCCAGACACACTTCTAGCAGTTCAAAATGAGCTTCACCAGTGTTGATGAGAAACTCCTCAGGTGCTTCGTAATTGCCTGACATCATCGGTCTTAGTAAGTAGTCCCTGGCTGACTGGTGGACAAGGTCGACGATCTCCTTTTCCTCGCCCACCTTGAGCACCCTGAGCATCGGCTCACACAAGGTGATGTAGTCGCTCATGACCTTTTCGGCGCTCAGGCTCGCCAAGGGTCTGACTTGGACAGCCTTTGCTAATTCTGACAATGTCAGAGGCCGAGTGGCCATGACGACCCAACGCAAGATTTTGGAGGCCACCAGCCCTAGGCTATTTTTCATCTTCTGTAACATCCGGCCATACATTGCGTCCAGCCCGGGTGGAAACTCCTCCAGCGAATCCAAGATTTCGGTACATGTCGTCTTCTTCAACAGCTCCATTATCACGAGGCTGACCCAGAGAAAAGTGCCGTTGGCTCCATGTCCAAGAGTGGTTTCGACTTGCTCGCGAATGCAACCAAAGTCTTGCACCTTGTCAAGTTCCTCGACTTTGGCGGATACAAAATTCGCAATGTCGTCGCTGACATGTCCCTCGTCATCATGGTCTAGATTCACCTGACAAAAAGCCTCTAGCCCCTTGAGCTTTCGGCTAACAATTGCCAACTTGAGCATCTTGTTGGACTTGTCTGGCGAAAAAAAGTCGCAAAATTTGCCAACTAGCATGCCTGTGCTCTCACCGTCACACTCGTCCAGCCCGTCAATGACGCAGAGAACCGTGCCGAGGTCGGCCTGTAGGAGCGTTTGAAATACAACCCAGAGAGCTTGCGCAGAAGATACCGTCGTCTGTGTTTTCTGACTACTTTCAAAGTATTTCGAGATGCTCTTCATCAAATGTGGGCGCTTGGAGAGCAGTTGGCACACGAGGGACCTAAGAACAGCCACGGCACTGTTGCGGTTTTCGTCCTGATGGTCGCAAAAGTAGAACAAAAGTTCCGTGTCTTTTGATTTTTGGGTATGCTTCTCAAGCTCCTCTGTTAGAAAGATGGAGAGCATTGTTTTCCCCTTGCCAGGGCCACCGGAAATCCAAAGAAATTGCGAGTCGCCACCAAGCCAGGATTGGTATTTTTCATTGTCCTTGATCCATTTGCAGGTGCCTTTAGTCCTCTGGCCTTTCCTGCTTTTGAGGGTTTCCAGATCAACGACTGGCTCTCTGAGGGATAATGCGTCTCGACAGGCGTTGACTTGATTGTCGCCCGTGAGGAGCTGGGCATCGCCTCGCTCAACAAGGTCAACTTTCGGTACTGCTCTTAGTTTCATCTTTGCACTAGGGAAACATGGTTCGATTGACAAATTACATACATCTTGTTCTGTCCGTTCTTGGGTAGCGCTCGAGCAGGGCTTTGGTAGCAGCTGCAGCCGTTGCAGCCGCGTAGTTCTGCCACTGCTTATTCTTGTGACTGTCTGCATAGTCACAAACACTCTTGACTATGATACAAGGGATCTCGTCCCACACGCCGGCTCCTTCCATCTCAAAAGCGACAAGGTTGTGTTTCTCGGCTATAATGTCTCGGAGTTGGCCGGATTTTATCACTTTATCACCCGAGCCAATGCAACCAAAGAATACACTGGGATTCATAGGCGCCGAGCCATGTTCTTTCCCATGGATGTCGAGGCGAGCCCGCTGCACTAGTTGACCATGAAGATGACACTGAAGATCTTTACAAGTCTGGTTGCGTGCCTTGTCGCAAGACTTGTCTGGATGCTGGCAGCCCTCGCAACCAGACTGGTGTTTGTGTAAATGGGTTGGCCCAAATAATTCATCTTCCTCAATGCCAGGATACTGGTATGTGGCTGAGCATGACTTCGGAACAGGCTTGTTTTGTAGCTTTCGGAGATGGGCTACTGTGCGTTCCTCGATATTTGTAATAAGAACTTGCGATTGAATTGTAGAGAGGAAGCTTCTTATCGTCTTGGTCGGCCTACCAAGACCCTCATCCACGGTAGTTTTTGCCACAAATCCATCGTGATACTCACGTCCGAGATCGTACTGGACTACTCTCCTGGCGAGTATCACGTCTCCAAGCACAATTCCATTTGCCTCCGCATGGGGCACTCCGCCGCAGATGCCCGTCAGGACAGCAAGCTCAAGGTTTGGAAAGCTCGACCGAAGACTCGCTGCGGTGCTGGCGGCGATGACTTTGCCCATTTCCGAAAGACGAACAAGGACAGCATCGACCGGGCCTATTCGTCCTGTAAGGTACGTATTTTGATCGCCGGCGGCCCTCCCGTAGCGGTCTTGTTTTAAATCATAGAAGCTGTCAAAAAGATGGCTGACGGCATTGAACTCACATAGCAGTGCGCATATTATAGCAACTCGAAATTCGCCGCGGCTTTCCGGGGCCGTTGCCATTGTTGCAGGGGATACATCGATAAAAGGCCAAAGCCTCAGTGATTACAAGAGAACTAACTTCTAGTCTGCGGAGATGCCAGACCAAGGGCGGAAATATATGATTAGACAAGCTCAGGCAAAAATTGGGTTATGCCACTACACAAGGCTGGGGGAAGCGACTCTGATGGCGGCTGACGGCTACTCCATCACATTGCGTCTCCACCAATCGGGCAATGCAAAGTGTCAAATATTGACTTGACAGCCGTTTTGTGACCCTAGAAGTAGAATCGTGGCGTTGAGTAACCTGACATGCCTGACGAACCTGACCCAGATGGCCAATGTATTTGATGGAGTCAGGAGAAAGACTGCCATCCCCACATGTCTCGTTGAAAGAAAATACAGCCTCTCATACTGAGAATTGAGCAGTAAAGTACCACTTGTCTTTGTTTTCGCATCCTCGCGGGTTGCCGTTGCAGCCTTGTATGATGCTCGAAGGGATCCGCACGCGCAGAAGCACCCGACATATTTGACCGAGACATTGACTGCACTACAACGTATCACGGCATGGCTTGCGGGGTTTGGACATCAAAGCATAAGACTTGTCATTTATGTTGCGTTGAGGTTGACAAAGTATCCTGGCCTCGGCCCTTTCTCATCACACGACCTTATTTGAGCAGCCTCAATACCCAACATGAGTACTCCGTACATCTACTCCGTATTGGAAGCCGTATGCATCCCAACATCCCCCGCATTGTCTGTCATACCATTTACTCGACCCTACCAGACACCCTTTATCGACAAGCCCACCATCTTCTTTCGCTTACCCGAGCCCGTGATGGTTGGGTTTCTCGGGACAGGTAGGAATTATATTCACCTGAGGCTCTTGTGAGCCAGTTTTCGAATCCAAGCCGCGCCAACTACACCCAACACGTATAATATGCGTACGAATGGCAGCGCCTCGCGAGATGGATGTAGTAGCGGAAGATTAGAGCTTCACACGCCGTGCGGCTAACGGCCGGTCTTGAACTTGGCATTTCTCAATCGAGTTTGATTTTTCAATTCAAGCTTAAAGAGTATGGTGGCGAGCTTCATTCCGCTGTGTGAATTGCCGTAATTTTCCCAACAGCTTCAAGAGGCTCCTTGCTCGACTCTGCCCCCTTTGGCTGCATCGGCGTGGTAAAGGATATTACGTGCCGCGTACACTAAACATAGAACCCACCCGGTAATCTTACGACAGTATATCGAATACGCTACCTACTACCGGGTAGCTTGGTCTCATCCGTCGCCACGTATTACCCCCTATTAAAATCGACTTGTATTTATATAGCTCTTTGGTCCATCATGGCCTTGAGAAAACCAAGGGCCTTTACTTCCAAAGACTGTTATTAGATGAATTGAGCTACTGACTCCAATCCCCTTTGAGCCCTTGACACACCTAGGTCGAAATTTTGTTGAGATTATCAACAGCAATTTACGCAGTGGATTTTGGTACATCGATTGAGCAAAACAGTAGTATTCGATATGTCTGCAGGTCTAAGATGAAAGTCCTGAAAACCCGGGAAATTAGTATTTTTTATACTCCGTTGGAGCCCCTGAACACCCCTGTGATGACCCTCATCCAAGTCCGAATTTTGAACCCTTAGAAAAAGCACGTCACTTATCGCCTGTTTGACTCAAAAAATTTAGCCATCCACGTTGGGGGAAGGAGGATTCCTGTATGAGGCTGTGATGGTACCGTTTTCCAAAGGCAAGCAAGTGTATTATCCGCAGTTATCGATATCTCGATCAGAGCAGCTTGACGATGACGTCGTCTTCGTCCGCGGCGGCCTCCGACAGTGGTGTCTGACCAGCGATATCCTTCCCCTAGAACGCGGCGCCAGGCCGATCGTTGTTGGGAAATTTATCGGATCCCTCATCGACATCGGCTGGCGAGGATGGGGTGTACAACATGGTGTTGCCTTTCTTCGATTCCTTCCGCCGGCTACTAGACTCTGGGCCCATGGTACTGAGTACTTCTGCCGCGGTAGGTCGCTCCGCGGGATCAACAGCTAGCGTCCGCTTGAGGAGTTGATAGAGTTTTTCTGGCAAGTCCGGCCGCTCCCTGTTCTCGTCCTGGAAGCCCTTCCAGCGTATAATTTCGGCGCGGAGCTCGTTCCTTTCTTTGAATCTACCATTCCCCACGTACTCGGTATTCCTGTAAGGCAGGCGATTGAAACACAAATAGTAAAGAACCAAGCCCAGGGAGAATATATTTGAACTCGTGGTCGGGTTACCAAATTGAGGGCTAGCATCCTGTGTTAGAAGCTCAGGGGCGTAATAGGAGATGGTGCGCGGAGCCCCGGTTAGGTCTTCGATGGCGCTCTTTCGGTGGACTTTGCCAAAGTTGGTAATCAGGCAAGTGAGTTTCCCCCCTTCACGGTTTAGAAGACAGTGACTAGAATTCAAGTCGCGGTGGATGTAATTCAAGCTGTGCAGATACGCCAGACCAGACGCGATATCCTTGAATAGGGAGCAAATTTCGTCGGGCGGGAGTCTGCGCGGGGGCGCCAGGGTTGAACGCTGATATTCGAACAGCGCGCGTTCGGCGGGCTGGCCTAATTGAGCCATGAACTGCTCCTTCATCATCTCTGTGGAGAGTCCACTCATTACATACTGCTGCAAGTCGCCGACATTGCAGTATTGCTGGAGGATGAATACACAAGTCACGGATGAAGGATTAATCGGATGAAAGTTCAAATTAATCGGATCAAAGTTGGAATCCTCCAACCATGCGTGGCGATACAAGACAAGGTTGGAGTGAGAGAGTTTGGTTAGGAGTTTGACCTCGATTAGGAACTTCTCTAACCATCCGTAATCGTCATCAACTCGCACCTGCCTGCAGGCAAAGGAACCTAAATAGGCACCATCGATCTCGTGGCGGACCAATCGAACAACACTGTTCCAACCCATCCCCAGCACTCTCTCTTCAACGAAGAAAGCTTTGAAATACCCGGGGGAGAGCGAGTCTCTGAGGATGGGAGCCCACTCATGCCGAGCCGGGGCGGTTGAAATGGATTCGGCGTCTTCTACATCTCGAACACTGTTGCTGAGGGAAGAGAGGATTGGGACTTGTGTCCAATGGGACTTGATGGCACAGGCTGGCCATCATTGCTGTCTCTCATGTCCGCCTCGAGCATGTGGAAGTAGCTGGGACCTATCCGGGACTCATCATTTGATGGTATATCCGATGAGCATGATGATGTTTGAGAAGGGAACCGGCCATCGCTGGATTCGTCTACGAAGTAGTCATTGTGAGAGAAATAATCTTTATGAGATTTGACGATCAGCACCGACTCCCCTGCGTCAGCCTTTGGTGGGTTTCGGTCGACTTCACAGAGTTGCAGTGATTGTTCTCTCTCTAATGTCGTCTCGTCTGGCCACCCAACGATGTCCAGACAGAGCGGGTTGCCTTCAGGATCGTAGACAAGTTTGATCCCGCGGTCCGTGTCGAAGCTTGGAGCTTGAGTCTCAGCCCATCCGGCGACGTCGAAGGTATATTCGTCGCCCCCGCCGTCCTTGCCATGGTGGACTGCGTGGGCCATGTCGAATGTTCCAACTGGTTTGTCAAGACTGATGGTCGGGTCGGCAGGCCAAGGCAGGGAACGGAGCGAGAAGTCATGGATGTGCTGCAAAACATGTTCAACCAGGTCTGGAGAATCCTGAGGACCTTCAGAATCACACAAGGGGCATTTCGTTATTCCCATCACGTTTAGTTCTGCTTCTTGCAATAAGGCCTGGAGCCTGTCGGATGCAGCGTCCAGATGCGCAGACATCAGATGAACCGTGATTCCGGATATGGACTTGAATACGGGAGGGTCGCCTTCGCAACAAGGACATTGCCATTGCCATTGCGGCGGGTGGTCACTCATGACGTGATCTTTCCACCCCTGCTGCGTTACAAAGAGATGGTACGGCGTTGGGCAATTCTCGAGGATGCACGTGTACGGGCACAGGTCATTCGCCAAGTGTTTTCTGGCCTCGTCAGCTTCCTGGCTATACATTGCGATTGACGTCAATTTCTTACCTCCATTGGCTGTCTTCCAGCTCTGTGGTCGGGATAGCCTGGCAGCAGCAGGGGCATTTGACCAGTCTCTGGTCCGGGTCCGACGAGACGCGCACCTTGGGATACGTCGCTGAAGCTGTGATGGCCGTGATGCTTGTCACTGTCGATCCCGGCCGACGATTATTTCGAAATCCTCCCCATTTGGAATCGAGGCCTGAAGCCGACGTCCATGTGGGTGCTTCATTTGCCGCACCAGCCGCGCGCGCTTGCATCTGCCGGATTTGGGTGATGGGCTTGTTTTCCTGGTCGGGATGGGTCCTGGCCAAGGCGGAGACTTCTTGTGGGATCACGGGATGAGAAGCGTTCGTGGAGTAGTCTAGCAGCCCCTGGGAGTGCCGCTGCGCTTCCGTAAATCTGTGTCGCCGTCGCAAGTTCGCCTCGACGAGGCGATGCTGGATTGGCGAGAGCTCCAGTTCTGCAAAGTAATCTATGCTGTGTATCTCCTTGCCCTCGTCTGTGGGCCTGCCGCCTTCGGTCGGTTTCGACGCAATAACGCAGGCGAGATGTGCTCGGAGCTTCTGGTAATTGTCCCGGTTTCGCTCAAAGGAACCATCTACTATTCGAAGCCGGGGCGTCTGGCCACTCCGCCGAATTTGTACGCCTATAAAGGCCAGGCTATCTATCGTCGAGTCAATGTTCATGATTACATTTCGTAGATGGACATCGTTGCCTGCCGCGATGAGGCATTCCCGCAGAAAGCCCTCTAGCATGTGGAGGAGGCTTTGGATGGAATAGATGTCGTCGAGCCGGTGCTTGAACCTCGCGTCTAGAGAAGCCTTCTCCCGAGCTGTGGCCCCAACGCTGTCAGACCAGAGCCTCAAATCTGCAAGTCTGGTTTGAAGATGTGTCTTGTCCTCGCCCTCTTTCTGATGAATGCATTGTTGCAATTTTTCAAGGCAGGACCTCGTGATCTCGGCTGTCGAAGCTTCGGCAAGAGGGTCTTGTACGGAGAATGCCATAACTGCTAGCCCGGACCATGAGGAGCTAGCTTATCCGGAACCTCCTTTTTGACTTTGGTATGTGTGCTCGCGGTCACCGACGGAAAGATTGCCGAGGACCTTGCGATGACGGTTCGATGCCACGAGTACTGTTGCGCTGGGGGACGACAAGTTGTATGATGGAAGGACCGAAAACATGTAGTTTGCGTGGCCAACTCCCATTTTAGGCATCCTCCTTTAGCCATTGTCACACGGTTGAGACCACAACAAAGGCATTGTGCCAACAATGGTCACAGAACAACAAAGAAGGCATCACGAGGCCCCAGGTCGGACCCTAAGCGAGGGCTGCCTCAGGCCTCTAACATACCAGACACCAATTTCATATATTTATAGAGAGCATCAGCTCCTCAAGGCGTCGTAGAAAACCAAGGACATTTAAGACGTTAAAATTAATTATTAAGATTAAATTGAACTCATTGTGTTCCAAGCCCAGTTATCCTGCCCTTGTCACAGCCAGGCATTAAAATTCCTCGAGTGAAGATAACCGAGAGCGGGGTTCAATGGGGCTGAATATGCAATTAACGGTGTCTGAGGACATTCCTGCGTCGCCGTCAGCCACGCCTCGGAGCCAGCCACCCCGCAAATGGATCGACCTCCTGGGCGGCGCGTGGAACGTGCACTTGATTTGTTGCGCGTGGTCCTTCAGGTCGCGAAGCGGGGCACGGCTGGCTTGCGGGGCGTCCCGTCAGTGTGCAGCGGGGCCTGAACGCCCCGTGTCTCGACTCTCCAGATGTCTCGAGTCTTGAGTCTTGACTCTTCATGTTGGTGTCTGGTGGGCACAACAGCTCGCCACATACCGAAATTATTGGTTTCGCTGACGCTGATGACCGCTCATGTCGCCATGGGCCATCCCAAAAGTCGCGTCTTCGCCTCGGAGATGCTAGCCTCGGTTGCTTCAGAGGCGTCGGATATTCTCTTCCCAATTGCCATTGCGAACATGAGTGCTTCCGCAGGCGAGATAGCCACTCGACTTCGCTATATCGGCGGGGACTTGTTGGAGCAGCAGCTTTATCAGCTTCCTCCAGATATCCAAAGCCTTTGTCTACAGGCTCTCCAGGATCTTTTGAAAATCTGCAAGGTAGGTCAGAGCGCTGGCCCGAGCATCGAGCAGTGAGCTAAAGTGGTGAACTACCTAGTGGCCCGTACTGTCAACTGCTGCGAGTCACTTTCATTCGAGTGAAAGCCCTCAGGAGCTACGCGATGTCCTCATTCAGCTATGCGAAAAAGAACAGTTCAACAATGGAGTACAGAGATCAATCACCAAGTTCTGCAAAGAGCGGGCCGAAACTATCAAGCCCTACCAGTTACGATTTGTCCAGCTTTCCGACAAACTCTTGAAAAATGCCCAAGAAATCGGATGCAGTGTCAACGATTCCGGTCCGTATCTTCATCTCCGTCCTCTTGGGCATGATGTGTACCCCGACGACGTTTATAAGCTGCTTCTTCAGGGGACCAAGAGCCTCGCAACGTGTGCGCACCAATACCACAATGCACCGGCTCTCAGTGGTTTCACGGGAGATGATTGGCATCTAACTATGCTCTGTCTCAATTCCGGAATTCGATCAGAAAACAAGCGGGCGATCTTCAACATTATAACCGCAACGCCGGAAATGGTGTACTGGCAGGAAATGGGCGTCACTGTCCCGATGTAAGTTGTTGCTTCCCTCCTCTTCTGTTCTCTCCAGGAAAAACCATCCGCTCGTCTATAATTCGAGATCATTGTAATTTTGCATATAAAATATATGAGAGATGGCAAGTCGCTGCCGACACAAGTTTGTCATTACTTTGACACCAGAGAGTTTATTTCATCAAAGAAGATTCCTGCCTTTGAAGTAGGGTGTCATGAACTATCGCGAGCGGACTCGTCAGTACTCAAGGTAGCCAGAATCGGCTAATAAGATACAGAAAAGATATCGAACCAAACGATGTGCAGAGACACCAGCAAGCCAAGCCCTTCGATCCTTCTAAACCATCTTTGATGGAGTACGGTGATATTTGCAAACGTCTCGAGAATCCTAGCTATGCCAAATTGTATCTCGGTACGTATATTCTCAATTTTTGGGAGCCCTATGAAGTCGTAGTCTCTGTTCTCATGGTCCATTCCTTCTCGATAAGATATCTCCGCCTCATACCTCAACTGGAGATCTCTTTGACGCATATTTCCCAAGACTCAGGCAAAGAGGTCCTTGACTTAGTAGAGTCGGCATTTTCTCTCCAAGAGTTTGGGATCGAAAAATGACAGGACGGACCACTCCAGTGCGACGGGCTACAGTCGTCACCCTGTGAAGGTTTCAATATCTTGCAAAAGAACGAAGAAATAAATATACACCCTCTGTGCAGAGATATGACGCTGTTTTTTCTAGGTCTCAGAGGAAGGCTTTGAAGGTAACGAGAGACTACCTTACTTGGAAGTCCAAGGATCTGGGTTGAACGTGGGCAAACTCTGACTCTGACTTTGGCAAATTCTCTTTGGCTAGACTCGGATAAGTACTGACTTGCCAAATTAGATTTAGATCAAGATTGTCAGCTCCATGAACGGCCAGATCCCGTAGGACTTCAGCATATAATCACAGGTTGTGGCATTAATCTTTCTGAATTATTAAGCTTGAACGAACTCACAGTCGAGCACAAGATCAAGCTATCTTATACCGTTGCTCGAGCCTTCTGGCAATTTTATAATTCGGAACTAATGAATGCGAGATGGACAAGCGAGGACATCGTCTTCATCCCCCTCAATAAGGAATTCTCACCAACGGAAGGAATCCCTCTGAGGGCCTTCGTTCCGTTTCCCTTCGGCCCTCGATACAAGAAATCGCCACAAGAATTCTGCCAGGAGGACCAATTCACCCATCGATATCCCAGAATACTGTATCTGGGCATTATTCTCTTGGAAATCGGGCTTGGCCAGGCACTCAGACTGGAGCACAACCCGAAACTCAGCCTCCTTGCACACATAAACACAGCCCATGCCAAAGCCAAGATGAAGTTAAAGGAACTGGATGATGCTGAATGGGATGGCTTCCGGTGGAAGGAATATTTCGTCGAAGCCGTCAGAAACTGTTTTGACTCTACCAATTTCAAAGAGAGCCCAAGGCTACGAAACCCCAGACAACGAGGCAGTTCAGAGTGTGCCGACAATGACGCCAAAGATTCGGCCTTTCTGGAAAGAAGAGACGCCCTGTACCAAAAGGTTGTTGCTCCCTTGTTGTGGTTGGCTACGACGGGGTTCGAAGACTCGGAAGAAGTGCCACTGGTACCCATTCGAAAGAAGATACGCCGCCAACCAACACTTGCGAAAAATGGAGATGAGGAACTGCAAACCTTTTGGAATGAAATACATGCTCGCCCTTCGTTGATGTCTGGTAGTTCAATCAGCACCGAGGGATTTCTTGAAGATCTTCAAATAATAGCGGGGCATATAGCACGCTGTCGGCGGCTGGCCAAGGCGACAAAACCAATCCGCGTCGCGATTTTGGATACTGGGTGTCACAGAGGCCTGCGCTTTTTTCAGAACCCCCAAAGATTCAATAGGCTCAAGGGCTGGAAGGACTTCACCTCTGCAGGCTCGGAAAGTGAGATTGACACATTCGGCCACGGAACATTCATGGCACGGCTACTTATGCATGTTGCGCCGATAATTGATGTATATGTGGTTCGAGTTGCAGAGAATACAGAAGACCTGGAAACCCAAGAAAATAGCATTGCCAAGGTATGTGCTGCGCCATTGGCCTCGGACGTCCTGACCATAATACAGGCTATCGAGTTCGCGGGTTTGGACCCAGATTGGAACGTCGACATCATTTCCATGTCGTTTGGCTTCCCCAATAAGCCCGGGGTGAAACACGCCGTCATTTCGGATGCTATTGATAAAATCAAGAAGGATCGTAATGATTCAGTACTATTTCTCGCGAGCGCCGGAAACTCATGGGAGAGGAGAGTTGATTTCCCCGCCAGCCACCAAGAAGTCATACCCATTTACGCCGCCGATGCCACAGGGGCTTTCCTACGCTCGAATCCAGCCCGCGCAGGCAAAGGGTCTGAAAAGCTAGGTACTTACGGCACAGATATCCCGACCTCCATCCTCGAGGAAATCCAAGAAGCCTTTCCCAAAGCGGCTCTCAGCGCCGGCACTTCGCTCGCAACAGCAATCGCAGCTGGAATCGTCGCCATGATGCTCTCGTACATCGAAGCAGTACCGGCACTCCTCCAACTCCGGGGGTTTCAGGAGGTCTGCGCCAAGCTCTACACGAAAAGAGGGATGGAAAATATGCTACATGTCATGTCGTTGACGACTGGCTACCGGCAACAGTTTATTAACCCAGTACACTTCTGGGGAGAGAAGAAGACAGACGTAGATGTCTTTATTTCCATTTGCAGCGCGGTTGAGAAGATGAATAACGAGACATGAAGGAAATACACGTCGCGGTATTTTGGTTATATTCTCGGCGTATTAGGCATTGGCCGAGCTTGTTACAAACTTCACCATGAGGCTTTGGCTTCTATAAGGAATTAGCAGTCCCGAGAAATTTTGTAGATACTTACTGGGATACTTTTGGGGATGCCAAAAGAGTACAAAAAAGATAGCCGTCGAACTGACACAATTAATCCCATGTCTCACCATTCAATTTGTTTGCGAGAGAGAGATGCGCAGCTCTTCCTCTCCAATCTCTGCACTTTCGTACTCGACCTCCCTCCATCTTCGTCAATTTCGTCCTTTTTGGCTTCGACAAAGATATGACACCCCCTCTTTATTTCCGGCATCCAAAACGTTGATGAGAAATGCTCTCATGTTGTTTTTCTTTCCATCACATTGAGCCCAAAGTTCGTCAAACCGCCCAATGACTACGGGATTGCAAGACTATGTAGACCTTATCAGATCTAACCGTCAGTGTTTGTTCCACGAGGTAAATTGTTCTTCCTCATACACTTTGACGGCCCGTACTCACATATCCAGTGGGCATGTCGTGCCCACCCTAGACGATCGCAATTGATCTCTAGAAATACTGAGAAATGAGAGGATTCCAGTGGCATACCCAGCCAAGTTTCTATCCTTCTCATCCAAAACACCCGTCATATCCCTTTGGGTGTTCGAAGGTGCCGATTGCGTACCGGGCCCGCTTTGTCTGAGATACCTAGTAGATACCTAGTTTAGTATATATAAATATATATCTTTTTATATATATAAAAATAAATAATACTTATATTTTTATATAATATCCTAGTATATTAATATATCTTTTATTTTAAGATTTTTAATTGGTTAACATCCTTATTCGGTATAAAATGGGCACCTTCGAACACCCAAAGGGATAGGCTGCCACGATGTGCCTTCCGAGATGACCCCAGCCGTCAGGTGGCAAAAAGCCCTGGCATGGTCGTCGCAGTGTATATTACTGGCGGCTGGTTGGTGTACTTCTGTAACATGTCAATCTCAGTCAATGTGTGTCAGAGACCAAAAGTGGGTCCCAGATGCACGGGCCAGGCACCGGCCACCGGGAGGTTCTATAAGAATTAGCCTTAAGCCCTAGCTGGGCCTTAGTTACAAGATTACTGCTAGCTATAAAAAGGGATCTCTAAGCCTGTAAAAACTTAGAGGTTTAAAGATAAATAAAGTTACTATCCTATACTTAATTAGCTATTAACTCGCTATAAGTTTGCCGGCACTATCTCCCTAGGCACTCTGCTATCGTGAAAACCCTCCTGACAATGTGCGTGTTTGATTAGAAGGGTCAAGTTAACCCTGGGCCATATCGGCTGACTTGTACTTGGCTTGCGTGGCAGCATTTCTCGACGAGAAGTGTGCTTTGAATGTAATAATCAAGTCAATTATAAAGATGTAACTAGTCTATAAATGGATGATGAGAAGGATAAGTATAAGTTGTATAAATAGGCAGTGGCATTCTATTCAAGGTGTCATGTGGTGTATTTGACCCGGTAACACCAGACTACACCAGACTCAAGTCGGCAACCAACATCAAGGACTCGGAACTGTGGATTCAGATCGGACAGGTACAGTTATTGCCCCCAACCAACTTGGTGCACAGACTCACATTACCGAACCAGGTCCCATGGGCAACCAAATACTGCAACTGGTATTACCAGTACATGGCGTATCCCATCCAGGCCCTTGCCGCCGCAGCCGCGCTCTGGGAATATACCCTCACTGACTGGGAAACGTACCTGTCTGTGGATGAGTCGGTACGGAAACAGATTACAATCTATAAGAAGGGGAGCGAAAGCACATACGATCCGCTGCCGATGCCGGTGCATTTGCTGATTAGCAGTCGGGCCAAGAACGGTGGCATGGCGAAGAAGTTTGCCGACTGGCTGACGAGCCGAGCGGGCCAGGAGGTGGTTGAGCAGTTTCGCAAAAACGGCCAGCAGGTGTACACGCCGGCGCTGACAATTTAATCGTTGACAGACGCTTACTCTTGGGTTTGAATCTTGATTGGAGCTGGAAGTGAGGAGGATAGTATTCCATTTTTGTTTCTTAAATTGATTGTCCACGGATATTTCCTCCATTTGCGCCCGTCATGTAGTAAACGTGGCATTATACGCCTTTCCGGCGATAGTTGAGTTTGGTTGAAATCGAAATCCATACACTCCGCTGCCAACGGAGATACTAGTCCTGATGACAACGTAAGCCCTTGTCATAAGTATAAGCAAAGCGGTGAGCCGGGCGGGTCAAATTTGAGGCTTTTGGGGCTGCTATCGAATTTGAGGCTTTTAAAGCTGCTATTAAAGCTGCTGCTGAATTTAAGGCTTTTAGATTTTCTAGAGCTTCTTTTTTATTTTCCCCTGCCGGGGGGGCCGCCTGCAGCGGGCCTTTACCTGCAGCGCTAAAGCTATTAAAGCTGCTGAAGCTGTTAAAGCTGCTGAAGCTGCTGAGGTGCGGGCGGCGTAGTGGGGCTAGGTGGCCTTGGAAGGTGCTTACAACACTAAAAGGCAGGTTCGTGATAATTTACAAGCTATATACCAGCCTATAAATTTAAGCTAATAATAATAATTTAAGGTTATTTTAACTAATTATAAATTAATATTTTATATATTAAAACTTATAATTATAATAATATAATACTTTTAACCTTTTATTAAAAAAGTAAAGTAAAAGCTATACTTTTTTACTTATTTACTTTTTATATTAATAACGTAAATCTTAAGCAAAGTGCCGCTTTGCTTAATAAGGGGTATATTTACTGTTTAATTGGAGCGCATCCTTTTTGTGACATGCGCAGTCGGGCTAGCATTTTCCGTACCACTACTTTCTGACTGTCACCGGGTCATGAGTTTCCATTTAATTCGACAAAGCCGCCTTTAATAATAGGTTCGTTATATGGAGGCCCTCACTAAGTAATGCTTAGGATAGTGTGGAGAAAATCTCCTTAAAGTCGTCTGGTGTTTCGAGTACTGAGGAATCAAGTGCCTGTCACCCCTTCTGGCTGCGCTACTGCCGATATCGTGGATCAGGCCGTAAACCGTCTATCCCTAATGCACGGCTGATCCCGTCTTGGGCGCCGGGGAGTGGAGTCAGCGGGACAACCCGGCGGCACTAGTAAAATAAGCTCCACCAATGGGATGTGTGATCTAGCCAGCTCACCACGGGAATAAACGCAACGCCGGCCGAGTAGAAGGTCTTGCAGCCCGAGTTCTCCGCTGTTCCAGTTTTGATCTGAGTAACGACTTGGAGCACCGAGGTTGACTTAGTATGTAATTATCTATTTTATGTTCTAGGAGGAGCATAGTTGCTTACTTGGGCCTGATAACTGGCGACCAGTAACGCAGATTATAAAACCGGTAGCTGTTTTTGGAATTTTTCTTTTAGAAAGTTGGCTACTTTCTTGCCCAGCAAGTCCTTGCGATTAAACATGGAAGCATCGTCCAGCTTGACCATGCTGAGAGGGAAGGTAAAGTTGATGTTGTCAAGATTGACCCGCTCATCTGCAGCACCAGAGGCAGTGGCTGCACCTATGGTAAAGATCCTGCTCGTTACTTTAGCCGAGTAGGTTGCATTCTGCTTAGCACCCTTATTACCAGCCGAGAAAAATACGAGGTTATTCTCATCGACCGCCTTCACGATAGCGGCCTCGAGACACCGTCTTTCGTTTTCATCCTCTGGCGGGTCGATCGTCCAGGACATGGAAATAATGTGAACACTCTTTTTCATGGCCACCAAGATGGCCTGTATTGAAATGTTAGACCTTCATAATTGCCAAGAAGAGCGCTGGGAGGCAGGGACCTGAGCTGCGCCCCTAGCAGTGATTTGACAGCCAGCCTCATCGGAATAGTGGTCTTCCAGCCTCAATACGAAGAACTGTGCGCGAGGGCACAAAAGATGAATTCGCTTCGCCATGATAGTTCCGTTACCCGTACTTGACACATAATATGGGTCGTTGAGATTATATTCCTCATCCCGAGTGCAGAAGGTCCGTCCACCAATAAACGAGTACTCTAAGTCTTTCGCATCCACACCATCATTAATGAGGGCAACTTTAACAGGCTCTTCCTACATCAGGATTTGGCCGCCACGATATGCTAGACAGACTGGATGACAATGGTTGGCCTTCTCTTCGTCTGAGTGTTTCTCTCACATGTGTACTATCGACATTGCTGGCATCTTGGCGATTCCTGCCGCTGCCCCTCTCCCTACCCTTGTCACGGTCTCTTGTATCTTTCGCCGCTTGGTTATGTTTTTCTTCCTCTTCACTTTCTTTATCCTCCGCCTCCCTCACGGTTTCTTTATAGTATAAATATAGTAATCTGCCATCAAGGTTAAAGTCGCCACCTAGGCAATCCCGCACTACTCTGTTGCTCTTGGCAACATTTTGTTCGATCAACGACAGCTGACCTTCTCTATACCTTTTGTATTCCACAGCGAGGTGAAGGGGTGTATTATCTTTGGCTGCCAGCGTGGCGGGATCTGCTCTATTTACCAGGAGTTCCAAGAACTTCACCTTCCTTTCGACTCCGAGACGTTTGCAAATGTCGCACAGGCTACTGAGCGTCCATTTAAGGTTGTCATCACGAGTTGCAAGCCGGGCGCGCCATTAGACGACATCGCCGGTCCTTCATGCATAAATCTTGATCTTGCCAAATCTGATGTCAAGACCAGCGACGGTGAAAGCGTCGAGGAAGCGATGAAGCGCCTGGTTAGGCGTCGGCCAGAGGTTCAGCTACAAGCCGAAGTCGTTCGTGAGCAGTTGTGACAGCTCGAAAGTTTGGATCTATTAACCCGGTATATATTGTTTGCAGCAGAACTGGGCCGGTAACATTTTCATCAACTAAATCCATAGTCCTCCAGAGACTGTATCAAGCGAAACTCAAGAAGACCAGGCGCTACAGAAGATTTTAATCGCGTGTTCAAAGGCATCCCTGGACAGACAACTTTTAGACGGCTTCTATCCTGGATTCTATACTCGGTAGGAGCACCCAGTATTCGGGAACTTGGCAACAATTGCCTAAGTAGGATCGAACAAGCACTGCCAAGGGCTTGCGGAGCCACCTTCATTAACGTTCCACTCTGTCAAAAATAGGTTTCTGGGATCGCAGAGATCAATTAGAATGAGATTAGAATCACGGACCCAAGATTGAGGAGAATCTTGATGAGCGTTGTTGCAATAAAGTCAGGCCCTGGGAAAGCGAGGTTCTATGGGACCAAGTGAAAGAGACAGCGCACTACGAAATCGCAGCCCTGTGCATCGATTACCTATCAAGACCCAGCGTAGTGAAAATTCTCAACGAAACCTCTGAGTTCGCTGACGCGGAATCCTTCGAAACGCCCGAATTTGTTGACCGAGGAAATTTGTGTTCATACGCCATCCAGGCGTGGCCTCGTCATCTCTTGCTCGGCTCTTCGAGGCCAGACTTGTCGCTATTGCAGTCGCAATCAAACTTTCCTGTTCTTTCAAAAATTTGTTCAAAGGGCTAGTGGGCTCTGTTGAACTGCGTAACAGGGAGTCCCACCTGTGGAGAGACGTTGTTTCCTATTTTTACTGGATTTGGAGTACCAGATGTGATTAGGCCCCTGGATGAAACTGATATTAAGCGGGGGCTGCTTGAGGCGGCTTCAAAAGACCAAGCGAGGGTTGTACAACTTCTTTTGGACAAGGTAGAGTTCAATGAGTCCATCTTGGTAGATACGCTTGTGGCAGCAGCGGCTCATGGGGCAGAGACAATGCCTCTCGGTGTACTCGACCATCTGATATGTAATGGCAGCGACGTCAAGAAGCTTCTCGACTCCGGTTGCCAGGCTGACCCAGTGGCGGAATGGACGCAACTTAAAATGGCGTCACCTCTTCACCATGCCGCTCGTAACGCTCACCCTGTCTGGTCCGAGCCCTGCTTAACCAAACAGCTGACATGAACTTCCGGACTTTTTACGACAGAACGTCCCTTCATATTGCCACTAGTGAGAGGCACGCAGAGATGGCCAAAAATGCTACTAGACGAAGGAAAGCTTGAAATAGAAGCCCCTGACCTAATGGATGCGGAAAAAGCTTCAGGACATGCAGCTATCAAAGGCCATGGGAATATTTGTAGAATCCTCGTCACCAATAATGCTGATCCAAACAGCCCAATGATTGATGCTCCAATTCTCACCCAAATCATAACCGAGTACTATGCGAATAAGGGTCAAACAGAAGGGATCCTCGAAGTGTTCGATCTGCTCGTGGAGCTTGGTGCGGATGTGAATGGCGAGAACTCGGAGGGAGTACCTGTGCTGACTGATACATGCCATAAATCAACACCAGAACAATGTTTTTGCCCGTCGTCTCTTGGAACACCAAGATGCAGACGTCAAAGTTGTTGACCCCAATAACAACGGCTCTCTAGACAATGCTGCCGTGAGAGGTCATCGACCGCTTGTTGAGCTCTTGGCAGAAAAGGAGGCAGACATCAATCAGGCGAACACACTGGGCGAGACTCCTCTGTGCTCTGCGGTTCCCAACTATGAAATAATTCGTGTTCTGCTAGAAACCGGAGCAGGAATTCTGGGTGGACGGCTTTGATGCTTGCGATCTGGCACTCAGACACGGCCACCGTGGAGTGCCTTCTGAAACACAGTGCAGCCGTGGGCTTGGAGTACATTGGCGACTACGACGAGTTCAAGGGATGGACAGGATTGACAATGGCAGTACATTTCGGGCCAGAAGAAGTTGTGCGGGTTGTTGCAGAGGATGAAGCCGACCTCGAGCAAAAATTTGCGTCTGGGATACCGGCCATCTACGCGGCAGCACGGCGCGATACCCTGTGAAGCATGCTGGAATTCCTGAGCAAGATTGACTTGGACCGACAGAATAACGAGGGATCATCGGCTGTTCATCCCGATATACCACTCATAAACTTCAAATGTCCCGTCAACGCTGGTGCCAAGTTGGAAATTCAGGACACCGTCGCAGGAGACACGCCTTTGGCAAATGCCGCGTACAATAATCAGTTAGAATACGCGGAGTATCTTTTGAAACTTGGCGCCGATATCAATATAGTCTCTCCATGCTACTGCGCGCCTCTTCATCAAGCGCATCTGACATGTAGCTTGAGTATGATGAAGTTGCTCATCAAGCACTGGGCCGATCCAAACTGCCCTTGCGAGGATGCTGTTACGGGCGCCCCTCTACAGGCTGAACTAACGGCACACGACGCTAAGAATTCTCGTGTTGACGAGATAGTTGACTATCTGATTGCAAAGGGCGCAGACGTGACGGCCGAGGGTGGGTTGTTTCGTTTTCCAATCAACGCCGCGGCATTCCAGGGGACACCGACTCTGACCAGTCGTCTTGTCAACAACGGAGCAACTATAGACGTCATGGACCAGACAATTGTCTATTTGGGCGGTGACATCAACAGCTGGGACGAAATGGGTCGAACGGCGGCCCATTGGGCATCACAACCAGGTCGTTCACAGGTCGTCGAGATGATCATGAAGTCAACAGCGGAAAGGCAATTCGTCAATATACCAGACATAGATGGTTGGACACCGGTGTTCTGGGCCGCGCGTGGAACTGGCTCCCTGCTGGACAAAGTTGTGGCAGGTGAGCCGCAAGATCAGACCAAGCTTATAAAACTCTTGCTTCAGAGAGGAGCTGACCGCCCTATTCTGCTGTCGGCTACTGGACGTAAATAGTCTCCTCTCAAGATTTCGCGTTTCTCGGGACGATCCGCGGGGGTCGTCCATCTCCTCGAGCATGGTCTCGCTTTTACAAACACATCCAGAGGAGCAGAGAGTGGCAACCCTTCAGAGGAAACGAATGAAAGAGACATAGACCAATTCAAAGCAGCCAACACCCGATTGCCTTACTGCGACGCTTTTCTATGTGTACGTTTTCATGTCACGGTTCAAGTCTATATTATTTTCTTCACATGCTTGCCTAACCTCCGGCAGACACCAGCATCTCTTGCTCGGATCCAAAATGTACCAACCCTCCTTCTGCAGGATATTCGAGGCTTTATATACCGCTGCAAGACATGTTGCAACTTTGAGTTCTGCGTCAAGTGCTATCCGCACAGACGCATCCTATGCTCATCCCCAGACCATATTTTCGAGGAGCTTGGCCCGGAATTTGAAGATGTCCCTGGAGCCGACGGCGCAGACACGCCGGATGCTAGTACGTCTTCGGACTCGGATTCAGACTCGGACTATGAAGACTCGGAGACTCCTTTGTACTCTGTAGTATCTTGTGCTAGCTGGTTTTGCAGAGCCAATCTGCGAGTTCACCAAAGACTGGTTATTGGCTCATTAGACTCGTCACGAAAGCATTGGGTTATTTACCAGATTGTGCACTTTTCGTCAGCTTCACATAGCTCATACCAAACCCACAAGTCAGCTGCTTCCATGATTTGCGACAAGCTTCAATGTTTCCCAATCCCTCGAGTTATGTTGACTACCCTACTGTCACACAGGACGTCGAGGACCTTGTGGAGAGTCGGTTTCAGGCACCACTAACGCTATCATGCGAAGCCTTTCCATTATGGTAGTTGTCAAGTGCCCGGTCACACAAGCTGCAAGAGCCCCCTTTCCCCCTTTTTCGTCTGCGTAGTACTTCCAGGTATGTCTCTGAAACAACACCTTGTTCCTTGTTGGGTATACCTCATTGTCCTTGTTGCTCGTTCCCCCATAAGTTACGACACAGTGATATCTTGTTAGCCGGGCAGTCGTCCCCGAGAAAGCACAAGACATAGCATGATGGTGGAGTCATCAATTGATATTACATAGTGCGTCTTGTCGCACCATAGGGTCTGGTGCTTTATACGCTTGACTGGAGTTGGTGCTATAATGGGCCCTGAAGCGCTGCAAGCATCGCGACTTCATGCGACACAGACTCAGTATAACGTCTGGTCGCGGCTACCGTCGCTACATACCGTCTAGTCCGGCCAACTCCACAAGCCTGTTATGATTATACTTTTCATGCTCTCATGGGCTTGGCAATGCATACATGCCAACCATGATCCTAGGCACGAGTCAGTACACAATACCTGTCTGTAGCATCTGATTCAGCTTCACTCTGCGGGCTAGTCCATAGCGTCAAGATATCGAATGAAAAACAAGTCCATCTACGTTGCCATGTTCTGTCTGACTATAAAGGTCCTCGTGCTGCCCGTTTCCTCCTCATCTCACAGAATGCAAATCACCTGCAACGTCTTTCATTCTTTTTTCCCAGACACAGCCTGACTTGTCTCACTGTCATTACCAACAACCATGCGCTGGGATAGCCTTGTTTCGGCCGCACACCTTGCGCTGCTTGCCATTGACCCCATCAGCGCCTTTCCAAACGGGAAAAGGGATGTCGTCGGCAGAGCTCCCAAGCAGCCTGCCAAAGAAGTCTTCCGCGGCAACTTCAGAAGCCCGCGCGATGTAGCCAAGGACGGCGGATTCCGCCCCCAGGGCAACTATGCAAACGATGACCAGGCATTCTCTATATACCGCCACATGGTTGGCGAGCATGGGAGAGAAGACGACTCGGACCTGTCGGATGAGGATTCCGACAAGGAGTGGACGTCTGCCTTTGTCTCGGTAACAACCTCGGTCGACACAGCAGCATCCTACGGCCGCTGGGTGTACAGGATTCACGCCACTCCAAACATGATTGACCCCACGGAAGGGGAGGAAAACCAGCCTGAAATCTTCGCACTAGGAGGTGTCCCATGGTCCCAAGTCATAGGGTGGTATGAGCTGAGATTCGAGAACAACGAGTCCGTAAATGCCGAGGGAATCACAGCAAACGACTTTACCCCCAACCCAGCCTACCAGCCAAGATATGACGGATACACCCTGACGACTGTCGAGCCAAGAGGCCCATGGCGTAGCCACGACAGAAACTACTGGACGCAATTCATCAACGGCCCGAATATTACGCCCGCCGTAGGTTTCACCGGGCAGTTCCCGCTCAACTTTGGGACCTATTCCCTCGATGGACTCCCCGGACCTTCGGAAGAAACCCAGATAGAGCGGCCGCCCCCAACGCCGCCCGAGGCCGCGGCGCTCAGCGCGGAAGACATTGTCATGGCAGCCGAGTTCCTGCACAAGCACAATGCGCCGTGCGACGTCTCCGGCGTCGACCCCCAGACGCAATACCTCATTCTCGAGGCAGACGCGGGCTTTGCGCGATCCCTGGCCCGGCTACACCACGAGCGTCCCAACGACACGCTCCCCACGCCCTTTGACGAGGCGGACCAGCAGATCCAGGCCATTATCGAAAGGCTCCGACGGGGCCAGGAGCCAAACACGTGCCAGCTCGTCGGCGCGTGTAGCGGATTGAAGCTCTCCCAGAAGAAGAGGGCCACGAGTAAGCACCGAAAAGGGCCACTTGTACGGGCTACCAGAAAATTCATGCTAACCAGACGTTTCCCAGCACCAGAAGCGGTATCAAAGCTGTGCAAAAAGATGCAAAGGCCGAAAAGGAGCAAGAACCGCCTGCACCCGGCGACGCAGAATTCTGAAAAGTGCGTGCTCCGCTCTCCGCTCAAGATTAAGGTACAGCTGTCCAACGACACGTCGGCCGGAAGCTGGGACCGCCTGTTTCTGGAGATGGGCAAGAATACGCGGTACGAGCGCGGCCAGCCGGCCTACCTGCTCAAGGAGTCGCCCAGCGCAGGCGACGTCATGTATCTGGACGTTGATCTCGCCGACGCGTATCCCAACAAGGCCGTCACCATTAAGGACATTAAGAAGGTCCGGCTGGTGAGCTACCTGGACAATGGAAAGGAGGGTACAAATGAGCTCGAGCTGCAAGGTATGTCGGTGTGCTGGCTGCAGGCGTTTTCAAACAAGAAGAAATCTAACTCGACTAGACATTACACTCACGGGCAAATGCGCGGCGTCACCCAGGGCGGCCGAGGCTCGCATCAAGGCCAGGCAGTGGTTCACCAGCTGGAGCAGCGCCTTGAAGCCCAAGGACTGGGTGTGGAAGACGGACTGCGAAAAGTTGACCAGGCTCAAGTTCGAATGGAGCCTGGGCAACAAGGTGCGCGCCGGGACGTGGGATGACCTCAAGCTCGGCTCGCATCGTGATCGCAAGGTGCGAGCGCACGATGTGCAGTTTGCTACGAACCCGTCGGCCGGCGACTCGGGCGGCGAGGAGATCAACCTCAGGGAGATGTATGGCTCGGCGAGTGTGCACGTTGACCGCGTCGATTTCTTCCACGTCTATTCTACTACGCGATGGCCCGGGTCGGGCGAGGACGAGTGGGAGTTTGGAGGTATGTCGATGCTGGGGGGAGCAGAATGACGATATAAACAAGGTCCAACTAACGCTGGGTAGGAATTAAATTCAGAGCGCAGTGCGAGGGCTTCGACAAGGCCGTCGTGTTGGACAAGTTTGGCAGCGATTACAACTGGCACTCGCGTTCTAATGGCATTGACTTGCCTATTGCGGCGGGCGACTGGCGGTGGGAGGATGAAGACTTTCAAAAGCAGCATCCTTTCCCTAGGGAGAAGGATGAACTGTGATTGAGCATGCATGTGGCTTCCGTGACACATGGCGCTGACCCGGGGCAGCAGCGGCGCTGGATCCTTAATCCACGATCCAAGACCAAATCACATGGTTTTTTTGGTTCTGGCCTCTTTGATTTGCAGTTTTCAATACGCCAACAGGGCCAATAGCATGGTGGGTGTGCGGCTCTGAAGTAGAATCAATTGTCATCTAATCGCAGTATCGCGATGTTCAGGGATAGCTAGCCAACAGCCCCGAATGCCATGGGTTGTTTCGCCACAGACATCGCAAAATAGATCGCGGTGGACTCGATACCTTTTGACCCTTTTCAGGTTATTTGTATCCGTATCCGTATCGCCACTATCATCGTCTTCAATATCGGGGTCGGTAGCAGTTTCGCAGGATGTCTTTCGTTTTAGGTCATTTTAATCAGGCAAAGCCAACACTGCCCAGCTTCAAAGTTCAGAGGCTACGTAGCCCACTAAACATTCCTCATTCATCAAGGCTGATGTCGTTGATAATGTTGTTTAAGACATTTAAATTAAAGCTTAAAGGTCTTCAACGCTCATAGCGGTCTATAATTGCTGATAGAGGCCTTCTAATAACACCAGTTGACCCGATAGTCCAACTGACTAGTTGACAGGGCTTTGGCAGCTTTTCTGCATCTTTCGCTAAAACCGATATTATATTGGCTCATTAAATAGGCAATGTCAAGTAACCAGGGACTTCCAATAGCTTCCATTACTTGATGCCAAGCAGCTCTTTGCGGGAAATCCTCCCATTTCAATAACCAAGCTTCAAAAATCAACCTCATTGTGGCCTTAAAGGTCCGGATTATCCCCTGATATTCAGCCGCTAGATGGGCTAGCTCTTCTGACGCTCGGCTAGAACAGCATCGGTCAGGGTCTTCATCCACTGAAAGATATCATGATCCCAGTGAAGATATCGGGCTAGCCGACTGTCAACGCTGCTGTAGATGATATCGCGAGCCCTCATGAGCTGTTTTTGCTGCTTTACATAGAGGTCTAGGCCCTCTAAATAAATCGTCCATGCTAGGCTGTAGCTGTTGACTTGGTGCTCGGGTAATTCTGCCGCTGATGAATCTGTTGAATTGAAGGCTGATATTTGCGGTCGGTTGGGTTCAACGATAATGAAGGCTTTATCGTTGGTCTTGATAGCGGCCCAGGTAGCTAATTCTAGCTTCTTACCAATATAATCTTGCCACTCTAGCCAATCTGTAATGCCGGTCAAGATAACCGAGGGCGCTGAAGGGTCTGACATGATATCTGGGTTGAATGATGAGGAATCCCGCAAATTTGACCCGTGCCCCTTTATACCCGGCCAGAGGCCCCTGCAAGCCTCCGGGGACTCCTGACGATAATCCTCAAATTTGACTTGACAGCACATGCATCGGGTTGGTCGGGGCTCAGGAAGGCCAAAAACAATTACAAGGGGAGCCCAACGCGCCCGTGGTCAACAGCGCCACCGACCAAATCACGATCGATGCAAAGGGACAGGCCAAATGCTGTCCGATTAGGACCTCCTTCAATGGCACCTCTTGTGTGTTTGGCGACGGAACGGGGTGTCCCAACAATACGAATCAGGTCGACGGTGATTGTGCCAGTCTTCAGGGCCCAGCCAACGCATTGACTCTTCAATGAGACTGCGTGTCTCTCCTCGGAAGGTCCTAGCTGTCCAACCGGAGCTCGATTTGACGACAAAGTGTGCAAATCTACGCGATTGCCCCCCTATGACGCGGACTTTGCATTCAACGGAACAATATGCGTCTCTCTCGATGGTCCAACCTGTCCGGATGGATTCGCCACACAAGACAGCTTGTGCGTCTCCAACGAGCCTCCCAGGTGCAAGGGCAGTGATAGTTGACGTTTCATGGTACTTTCTGCACTCGCTCGGAGCCTTCCTCGTGCATGGCAGCTGTGATGATCCTTTCTGCTCGGGGGGATTCGCCTTTGACGCCGAGGCGTGCGTGTCTGACCAGCCGCCGCGGTGTTCCGACGGCGTGCTCTCCGACGGCGTGTGTATCCTCACGCAGCCCGTTGCCTGCGCAGATTACTCCCTCTCCATGACGTATCTCGGCAAATTTGAATCACGGTGTTCCGTAAAGTACACTGCCCCCATGACTCGGGTTGGGTTGCGGCATAAGCATATCCCTTGCCCGAGGAAGGAACATGATTTGGAATGATCAGAAATATCATGGCTAGACTATGAGGGACATTGGTCCGCCGTTTGTCAATACATATTGTCATGTTTATCTGTGGGCCAGGGCAGCCTCGGCATGTAGAGTGAATGGCTTCGTCTGAACCAAACCTTGGTGTTTTACCAAGCCGCCAGTCGGGTTGTACATGCAAGCAGAGACACGGATGAAAGGAAGTGGCAAAAACGTATGGAATCAAATGGTCTGGAAACCTCGAATTCCACTACAGCCAATTAAACCGGGGACGGCAGTGGAGTTGAGTCAAAGTTTATCTGATCGACTAGACTGAAGGACGGGCCGGATGTGGATTTATCGAGCCGCATCGCCCCAAGCTAGACACATTAATTAATGGCGCTTGAGTTCATGCAGCTGGAACGAGGCATTGCGTCAATCCCACGATTTGACCAATGGAGCTGCCACAAGACACTAAACCTGATTTTTGGGTTCACCAGCTGCGTGTGCAGCATTCATGCAGATCGACGTATCTCGGCTCGAGATAACAGTGAGGGGTTTGCTACACACTGCGCAGAGTTAAAATGTATTTAAACCCGCCGCCCAGTCTCCCGGCCCAGATGGTTCCCGACGACAGAGAAACAACCAGATTCATAGATACTCATTTAGCTACCTTCCTACCAATATCAACGCCATCATGCCGCATCTCAAGCTGCGAGATGGAGCCGAGCTCTTCTACAAGGACTGGGGCAACCCCAAGGGCCCCATCGTCACCTTTTCGCACGGCTGGCCGCTGAGCAGCGACAACTGGGAGAACCAAATGGTCTTTCTAGCCGACCACGGGTTCCGCGTCATCGGACACGACCGTCGCGGCCACGGTCGCTCCACGCAGACATGGCACGGAAACAACATGGACACCTTTGTCGACGATCTCGAGGAACTCTTTAAACACCTCGGCGTCAAAGATGCCGTCATGGTCGGGCACTCCCACGGCGGCGGAGAGGTGACGCATTACCTTGGAAAGCACGGCACCAGCCGCGTCAAGAAGGCCGTCCTTGTCGGAGCCGTGCCGCCGTTTATGCTCAAGACCGAGGCCAACCCGCAGGGCACGGACAAGTCCGTCTTCGACTCGTTCCGGCAGGCCATGCACAAGGACCGCAGCCAGTTCTTCTTGGATGTGCCCACCGGCCCCTTTTTCGGATTCAACCGGCCCAACGCCCACAAGAGCGAGGGCCAGATCCGGAGCTGGTGGCAGCAGGGAATGAATACGAGCTTCAAAACCGCCTACGACTGCATCAAGGATTTTTCCGAGACGGATTTTACCGAGGATTTGAAGAAGATTGATATTCCTGTCTTGGTGCTTCACGGCGATGACGACCAGGTTGTTCCGATTGAGGCTGCTGGGTTGAAGTCTGTCAAGCTGCTGCGCCATGGCAAGCTCAAGGTGTACCCTGGGGGATCGCATGCAATTCACAATATTAATGTCGATGAGGTGAATAAGGATTTGCTAGACTTTATCAAGTCGCACTAGACTTGGTGGCTCCATGGAGTTTTATCTTAGGATACTGACGAACAAATAAATTGTTTGTTTAGCTTTATCAAGTTGTTTCGCACGCTGCCAGTTTTGCGGCATTTTACTTGCCAGGTTCTGCGGAAGCAATTCTTCTAACCCTTGGTGTTTCGCGGCATTATAGCCTGCGGACAACATGACGTCGTGAATCCCATGTAGCCTCGGTACATTCTCATTTTGTGGATTTATGGCCTGCACAAACGTCACTTCTTGTCCACGCCAGGCTTTACGCGTTCCGCAACGCATGCGGCGTCATGTTAGTTGCAAGTGAAACCAAGTACTAGTCTCTGAAGCCCAATGGGAAACATCTCGTATCCTTAAAGTCGTACGTGGAGGATGGGGCATCGACTCCGGTTGTTGGCGCGAGGGCAAAATCTCAGACATTGAACACGAAGGATGCATTTTGACTCACAAAGCTTCAAAGCTCGGACCTCCTGCACAACCTTGGCGACCGGCGTTCAGATTGCCACCATCACTATGAGCGATTAACAATTGCCGCGTCCATCTTTGGCTGAGATCTAAATGCGAAACCGTGATGTGGTAATGCCAATCTCATAGTTGTACCGATGGATCGCTCCTAAGCTTCTCACAAAATCTGTTCAGCAGAGAACCCAGATAAAGCGGTGATGCAAGATTTGTTTATCTGAGATTGGCCACTTTTGATCAAGCTGGCCGATGAACAGCGCCCTCCAGCAGTCCTCACCAACCGCATAGTCTGGTCCATTATCAAAAGTGCACTGGTGATGATTTCTCACAACGCTAATTAAGATGCGTACAGTCGATGGTTCATGTTGAGCCAATTGGCAAGATCCGACGCTCGAGGTTACAATCTCCAAGGCATCTTCCGGCATGGTCCCCGCATTGATTGTCCAGTTGCTTAGGATTTCGGGATACACCGGATGTCGTTTGACGGCCAATCAAAGAACTCTTCAACTTCAGTTGACGCAGTTGAATAAGTCTCGACACTTTGGTCATCTTCGCGACTGTTGACTGTTGGACATCGTTGTACTTTGCTGGGCAAGGTGAGATAGGCAGCACTTGGTTTCTTGATTGTCACGTTGCGCACCATCTTTGAATGGATCGTACTGCCACGATGTAAAGTCCTCTGTGAAACTCGTCCCAGAAGGCCCGCTCACAGGTTCTATATTTTGCCAAGAGCTGCAGCGGCCGGCATCATGTCCTTTCAGCCTTTCCAACGGCACCCTATCTGCTATAAGCTGGGCTCGAATGCAATGCAGATCTCGTTGACAGTGAAGGTCGGGACACGTTGAACTGCGTCGTTTGGATACCTAGATAAAGTGGGCAGATGCCCCGATAAAATGAATTCGCCGTGCATGATGATCCGGACCATACGGTTCATAAGGTGGACAGGTTTCTTCCCGCTGCGAACTCTATGCGGACCGGTGGTGTCACCTCAGCATAGACCTTGAGTGAATCGCAAATGCATGAGTAACTTGTTATTCCTGTCCAACCGTATCTGTGAAGTAAACTTGGCAAGTGTCGACCAAGGCATGAATCCGTAAACCCCGCTTCACCATACATAGTGAACTCTGAGCGGCGAAGCAATTGTCAATATGGTATGACGTCTCGCAACCCTCTTCTAAGGCCGGGATATGGAAGAAAGGGTCATTCTTATCCTTTGGCTCACAGACTAAGCTGTTCCGCTCTAAATGTTGTTTTAGCAAGTAATGTCGAGTCCAGATGAATCTCCATTTGCTCAAAGTGTGCGAGATGAAGCCTGAATAACGATTTCTCGACAAAGAGCTATGCACGTGCCTTATCTCGGCTTCGTCCTTGTCCACTCCATCTTTGTGCAAAAGTCTAGCGAAGACATCCCATTGAATAATGCGATAGAGTGAGTGGATGAAGACGTCTGTCTCGTGATCTTGCACTACACAGTCGAGGGTGCGAATGTTGCTCCGTGACCAAAAGATACACGCCACCTGAGAGCCGAAAGGTTTACAACCTTGCTTCAGCGGCAGGTTCTGTTGAGCCTTTCAAAGGCAGGGGTCGGCATACTCTTGGGTCTGCGAGCCTTTCCATACCAGACAGCAAACTTGTTCGCGAAGAAGCTGAGTTCGTCGTCCTTGAGAGCGCCGAGAAAGACAATATCGATGGATTCAGCTAGGCACAAGAGGAATTGCGGGTGAAGACAACAGTCGGCCATCTCGGCGTCTGGGAACGGGAAACTCGACAACACCACGAGCCTGATTGGTCCAAGGCTCCCTAGGCCCGGGCGTTCCTTTTATGTAGATAAGGCGATCACCCTTCTCTTCCTTTCTCGTAGCAACTCAAGACCTTAGAGGCCCTTCGAGATTATTGTTGAATTGAGCCCTTTTTGCTCCAAGCCTTCATACTGAACCCTTGTCACAGCTGTTATCAGCCAGCCGCTGATATATTGAGGAGAGCCGCTGTTCCCTAGTAGCGCTGGGGTCTTGATTCTGCGCCGTGACACAGGGTTTCCGCTTACGGCGGGCGGTGACATGAGACTTCTGCTTGTCATGCCGGATTTCCTAAAAGTTTTGCTTTGCTCATCGTCACGTCACAACCGCAGCTGCAACGTACGGCTTCATCGCACGGGGTTGACCAACAGATATGAGATCTACAGGCAAGTTGATAGCCGCGGGGTCACGGATTTATGGTTCGTGTAAATCGTATAGGGCCATCGCTTGAGGAATATTCTCTTCATCTTGGGTGAGCGTAAATGTCTCGAGGTCGCCCAAGACACGCTTATGCGACTGTCGGCCTAAGATGTACCGGAAGTTATGGAATCTGATGTGGGGGTGCAGCAGGAGGCTTGTCATCGCATTTAGAGCCGTCGAGTCTACATTCACCCTCTGTCACTTACTTGTCAAGCATCTCTTGATCCGAAGCTTCAACAATGCGATAAAGCTCGTTACTGATCATTAAGCAATCGATGGGCTCGCAGTTGAATTGCTGACCATCAGCGTTATCGCTGGGACTGTCATCGTCGGCTTCGCAGACTTTGCTCTCATCGAGGTCGTCGATTTCGGATTCGGCAGCTGAGTTAAGCATGCTGTCAAGGTCCTCCTCTGCCGTTATAGAGGAAAGACCCCAATGCCACTCATCGGTTTGAGGAGCCAGCGTTAGTTTTCGAGCAGGTCTCGCTCTTTTCCGGCTATCGCGCGGAGCGCTCGTGGCTACCTGGGCTCGTCTCTACCAAGTGTGAGCCCCGGTCAGTAGGTCTCCTCGGGGAGACGACGGTGCCATGGTTTGTATCGATGCTACATTTTGGTTCGCGGTACCATGAGCGACGGCGTGTACGCTTGTTGCTGCGGTCTCGTTTGATTTGGCAACGGCCGCCGTGGTCTGTTAAAGTTGAGGACCTAGGGATTGTGAAGAGGCAATGCGTATTTCCGGACGTTAGGGCCAGGGGTCTTGAGACCCTTGTCATCAGAATCACCAAATTGAGCCTACCGTTTCCACAATATGTAAGACATTTAGCTTGATAGCTCATGACGGTAAAGGCTAACACCACAACTGATTTACTTGGGACATCGTTGGCCCGGCCATGCATTGGTCATGCGCAAGTAAAGGCTGTACGCCTGCAAGATTCTGAGCCATGGATGTAAGTAGTCCTTCCTCGTTGACTAGTCATTCTTTCCATCGTCATACTAACAGAGGGCTCTCTTACCTACATAGGTACCGGCAAGGGTGAGTCCGTTTCTAGCTAGCATGGAAAGCATGCGATCCCACTCTTCAGGTTCTGACGCCTTGGAGAATTCCAGAGTTCTTTGAACGATTCGCGTTGGTGACCCCCTTCTTCCTTGCTTTCTCGTGGGGGCTAACCTGAGGGCAGTGGTCGCCAGGATCTTCTCAACTTTGCGGCCCAGGACAAGATTCCCGTCAGCTCTACGCCCAAGGCCCCCTGGAGCATGGATGGTTAGCTTTTCTTAATTTTGGTCCGTCGATATGACCTTTCCTAACATGATGACAGACAACCTCGCGCCCTGCTCGTATGAGGCAGGAATCTTGGAGCAATCAGAGCTGACGCACCCGGAAAACATGTGGACCCGTACAGTCGGTAGGATTTGACTGTTGCTCACCATGATGTGTGATGGTGAGGCTCACAAGTATAGATCCCATGAAGGCGCCTGACGAGCCGGCCAAGTTCACGATTCACTTCGAGAAGGGTATCCCTGTCAAGGTCGAGATCGGTGACAAGGTTGTCACTGGCTCTTTGGAGATCTTCAAGGCCCTCAACGAGATCGGCCGGGTGCATGGTGAGCTTGAATAGACATGGATTCTCAGGGTTTGGCTGACTTGTTCCTAGGCGTCGGTCGTATTGACATTGTTGAATCGAGGTTCATCGGTAAGCCTACGCTCAACTAGTATTTAGTTTGGAACTTTTGCTAATTCTTCGTAGGTCTCAAGAGCCGTGGCTGGTTAGTTGGGTCTTCTCTTTTGTTCTCTATATGCCCTCAGCAACCACAGACGTTGATTCAGATTCCATCACTTGCTGAACCAACCCTCGCGACGGATTGGCGGACTTACAGCGAGGCTCTGCAACATCCGCCCGTCGTCACTCAATCTCCAACTCATTTCGAGTCTAATCGAGGATGAAATCTGTTCATACTGACATGGTTTGTAGCTACGATACGCCTGGTCTCACCATCGCCAGACTTGCCCATATCGATCTGGAAGGCCTTGTGATGGATTCTAAAGTTCGCTCGCTTTGCGACCGCTTTGTGACATATGAGTGGTCACAGTGTCTGCATAATGGTAAGTTATTTCTATGCGGTCTCTTTGGATACGCATCACTCGTGCTCAAATTCTTGGCCAGGCATGACTTCAGTCCGGAGCGGGAGTTTCTCCAACACTCCCTCGAGTTCAGCCAGAGGCAGGTTGACGGCAAGGTCCACATGATGGCCTTCAAGGGCAATGCCTAGGTCGTCGGACGTTCTAGCGAGACCTCCAATCTCTACTCTGAGACGAAGTCATCCATGGACACCCTTGAGGGTTTCTCTCCTATGGTAGGTGATGACTTGAACAAGTGCCCCTTTGTTTATGTTAGCGGGGCTAATTGATGGAACAGGATACATCCGGATTCATTGCTATCCAGGGCATTTGCCTAGAAAAGTACGGTGCCAGGAAGTTCAAGGACGGAGAGCCCCTTGCCCGCGTGTAGGTACAGACTGCGCATGTTGTCCTTGCAGGAGTCTAGTAACTCTGGGTAGACGGCCCATCTTCAAGTGCCCACGAGCCCAAAGCGGGGTTTTTTAACATTGTGCTTAGAAAAGGAAAAGGGAAATAAAAAAACTGGAATATGGATAGTGTTTCTGACTGTCTTGTCGCCCCTTCCATAGACTTTGTAGCGTCACTGCCGCTCGTTGTCTCATTTGATGAGTGGTATGTGTTTGATCCACGGTGCTCTCTTTTTGCATCTCCCGCCACGGACCGTCTTTATGTCGCGTACTATATCGTCAGGAGGGTTGCTTAAGTCTAATGCAAAAAAGGCTCGGCCTTATCAAAACCTCTGAGATGATTAGATAACTAGTGAGAAGATGTCTGGTATTCACAACCTCAAATTGACTAGACAACGTGACCTCCGTGTATGTGACGAGGGTATAACGAGCCTCGGAACGTAACGGTTCAAATTCAAAGATAATATCGAAGAGTGTCAGAGGTTCTTGGTTTTCCAAGAGGAAGAGAGGGACCAGTGACCATTATATACATGAAAGGAACGCCTGGGCCTAGGGTCCGTGCCCGAGCACGTGTTCTGGTTGTGTAACAGGCAGGTCCTTTGTCGGTGAGGCCCTTTGTTGGGCCTTTTCCGTATAACAGTGTAACAGGGCAACAGTCGCTTTTAAGCCAACAAACCACGAGAGATTCCCATGCAAGACATGAGAATCGTGAGCTACAACAAGCACGACATGTATGCAAGACACTTGATTCACAGACACTGATCATGTTTAAGTTCAATACCAAAGTGTTGGATGGGGCGATGCTCTTGATCCCATTGTATACTATCTGCCCATGCGCATCGCAGCAGCTGTTCACAAAAAACAATGATTCCAAAGCAATAATCTATCTAAAGTTCATTCAACGAAAGTCTTTCACAAAGGAAAAAAGGGAAAAAACCAAAAAATTCAAAAGCATACTCAAGAAATCCTGCCCAACATTCATCCCTCACAAGCCCTCGCTTACACCACCATCCTTTGTTATAGCCCGGTCGATACCCGCTTCACAAGAGCCAGTGTCTTTGCCACTCATATCGTGTAGTAGTAGAGTGTCTGGTTCCTTCAGCGCTGTATAGCCGCAAGACAAGCAGTTAAACCATCCGCCCCTGGCCCATCCATCTCCTCGAGCGCTCGCGGGCCCTTTCACGCAACGCCTCTCTTTCACGGGCCGCATTCCTGTTCAGTTCATGCCACGCCTCCATGCCAGCTCTGCCGCCGCGGTTGTTGCGAAAAAAAGCATCAGTGTGGCGGGCCATGTTCTCGGAAAATTCCTCCAACGGATTGAAGTCGTCGAAAACACTGCCCATGGGAAAGGCCGCTTCACCTTCAATGTTGGTTCCTTCACACGATTCGTGCGATTTGAAAGTGACCTTGGTGGTGTCGACGCGTTTCTTGCATTTTCCGAATTCTCCATTTTCCAGGGCCTCCTGGCACCAGTGCCTTTCCTCGGCGTTGGATATATCTGTGCCGCACTTTGTGCACCGCTCAGTAGACTTTTGAATCCCGCACATGTTGCCGTTTGTAGTGGTGTGATAGTGTGTTTGTCTGTGTGTGTGTGATACTTTTTTTTCTTCAAAATAGGATGTAGCGTGCTGGATGGCATCGCTGGAGAAGGCCGGGTCATGGGGAATATATAGTCGCGACCCGACCCGCAAGACGAGGAATCACAGGAATCACTCCTTCTGATTCACAAAGGCCTGTACATCTCCTTTGATATCTTCACTGGAAATGGTGAAGATGGTCTGCTCAAACTGTTGTTCACTGTCGGGCCACGTCTGCTCCTCGCTCTCCTGTTTCTTCAAGTCATCGCGGGCGTAGATTTGGCCAACCCGGGGAACCTCATCAGCAGCAGTGTTGGTTCCTTCACCCGATTGATGGTGCCCTTCTTTTTTTCCCTTGCGGGCGTAGATTATGCCAACTCGAGGAACCTCATCGGCTTGAATCTGGGCTCCCGCAAGCGAACGGTGAGATTTGCCAATGATTCTGTCGGTTTTCTCCACGCCAGTCGTGCATTTTCCAAATGTACCATTTTCCCGAGCCTCTTCGCACCAATATCTTTCTTCTCTGGTCTCGAACCAATCTTCCACCCCCTCTTTAATCTTCTGAAGCCCGCACATGTTGCCGTTTGCGGTGATTGTCGTAAATTGTGTTGATTTGTTTTTGTGATTTTGTGATTTTGTGTTTGTGTTTGTGTTTTGACTTTGATCTTGTCGGAGTAAGAATGTGAGGATGTAGCCTGCTTTATGGTATGGCTGGAGCAGGGCAGGCCACGAGTCTTATATAGTCGCGAGACGAGGAATCACTGCTCCTCCTCCACATCCTCCCGAAGACATTTTTCTTTGGCGCATGAAGTACACCGGACGTTCTTCGATGACTCCCTATCGGTGAATTCGACGCCCCCAGTGCAATATCCAAATGGGGGCATCCCCTTAGGCCTCTTAGCCTTCTTAGCCTCTTCGCATGTAAATCGATTTCTCCATACATGATGAGACTGACCGCAGTCACCGCACGTGCATTTGATCAACGAGCACGTACACATGTTGCTGTTGGTGGTAATCGTGGCAATCGCAGTGAAGCTGTTTTATTGGATAGAATTTTGATGGTATGAATTCCAGTGATTGTTGTAAAGTGTTTGGTTGGCAGAGTTGGTCGCGAGGATGTAGCTGAGTTGATGAGACGACTGCCACTTAGCGGGGACGCGGGCGTTATTTATAGCCGTGATATGAAGAATCGCTGCTTTATTTGCAAATGGTGGATGCCTCGGCCAGATTCACTGGATTGATAGCACAAGCTGTCCACTGTATGTTTTTAGACGACCTCGCCGACAAGTGTTGTATTGGCCGGAGTTTGATGGTGATGTTATGGCTTGCTGGATGGCGACTAGAGCTTGACAAAGCCGTAGAAGTTGTATGTAGTCCCGAGACGCGGAGTCCCTACTTCAGTTTCGCAAAACGTTGAGTTAAATCAAGGACTTCGCATTCAGCACACAAGACGAGCTGTTTTGTTTGGTCAACGATGCCTTGGGGGCAATCTCCCAATTTAATGTCAAACTTTGAGCAAAATTCGGACAGCGTCCACTCAAGAGTGATCTTCTGGCAGAGTTTGCATTCGTCGGTGATTTTGGTGTGCTTGCACATGCCGCCCTTCCCAGGAATCGTGGTAAATTATGGTGTCGACTAGGGTTGTAATGGCAGTGATTGTGGTGACTGTGGTAAATTTGTATTGACCGGAGTTGGATAGCAATGGTACGGTTTGCTGAATAGCAACTGTAGCTTCGTAGAGCCGTACAAGTCGTATGAGTTTGTCTTGGGGGACGACGCTTTCGTGCAACTGGCAATTGAGCACCAGCCCCCTCAATCTCTGCAAAGGTAGAATCGAACCCGTACGTCGAAAAAGCTCTCTTTCAGGATTCGCAGCTGTCGATGGGAGTCAAGTGCTTGCACATGTGTCGTTGGCAGTCGTCGCAGTGAAGTGCTTCGTTGCCTCGAGTGTGATGGGGAGGAGATGGTCTGCTTGGTGTCGACGGCAGCTCGGGGTCTGCAGGCATTATTTATACCCGGAAACGTGAAGAAGAAATCTTTGCAATGACGGCCTATTCTGGGCGTGTTCAGCCTCCATTTTCGCTTGCAGAATCCGAACATGGAATGAGGCGACATGACCTTTCATTGTTGGTCAGCGTCGCCCACTCTACACACCATGCTGCACTGAACTCACAGCACACCAGAGCCGTGCAAACAAGCAGCAGGAACCTGACGGGATAAATCACAAGCTTCCGCCATCTCATTCCCGGCTCTTGGGCACCATGACTACCAGTTCATGATGTGTTCTGCGGAAAACTGGGTTGGTTGGGCGCAACATGAAACGATTTCTGCGAGGCGAATCCGCCTTGCCAAATGCACAGCAAGGTCAAGGAGATTTGTGAATCGTCCCGTGACAGCTGCCTCGCTGAACTGTAAAGAAACAGGCATACATGATTCCATCAGAAATGACAGATGGAAAGCAGAGGGGGACAAAACCCGCATCATGTGGGTGGGCCTTTGTGATGCCTTTGTTTAGACTCGAAGCGCAACGGCGCTGTTCAACTTCCATCCAACAAAGGGCTAATGGCGCAAGCTGTTGGTAGTCATTGTACTACAGAAAGAGAGATGGAGAGACCTGCATGACCCCAGGTTCCTCCACTTTTGGCAGTGCCGCTGGTGTGAGCCACCATGATAACTCATGTTGTACATGTAGTCAAGTCACGAACACAAGGTACCTAGTATCCAGGATAACGTTGTGAATCAGGTCGTCCAATAGAAGTTCTCAAAAAGGTGGGGTTTATGCCCAAAGAACTGCATCAGCTCCGCATCCAAAAAACGACGTGGAGGCAGGCGGGCCTCGAATCGTTCCATCACATCCCATGCTCAACGCTTCGCATCCACTCTCCGAGATCCAACTCCCATGGAAACGTGGCTAGAAGAATCTGGAGCCGTAGGCCTGGACGGCCTGGAGGTTGCCGACTTTCCCCTTACAGGGCGGGGCGTAAAAGCGCGGCGGCGCTTCAAGCAAGGCGAGCGGATTCTCACCATTCCAAGCGGCCTTCACTGGACCGTCAAACACGCACAAAACGATTCACTTCTCGGGCCGGCCCTTTGTTCTGCGCAGCCACCCTTATCAGTCGAGGACACCCTGGCCGTACACATCCTCTTTGTACGGTCGCGCGAGTCGGGCTACGATGGCCTGCGAAGCCATGTGGAGAGGCTGCCTGCGAGCTACTCCTCCAGCATCTTCTTCACGGATGACGAACTGGAAGTCTGCGCCGGCGCATCACTGTACACCATCACGAAGCAGCTGCAGCAACGGATAGAGGACGACTACAGGGACTTGGTCGTGCGAGTGCTCGTACAGTACCCCGATCTCTTCCCGCTTGACAAATTCACCCTTCACCATGTAGGCGCCGCGTGTGATCATTGCGATGCAGCCACTAACCGCACTCCAGTACAAGTGGGCTCTCTGCGCCGTGTGGAGCCGTGCGATGGATTTCCAGCTGTCTGATGGGAGTTCAATACGTCTTTTGGCGCCCTTTGCGGATATGCTGAACCACTCGTCCGAGTCGAAGCAGTGTCATGTGTACGATGCGTCGTCTGGAGACCTGTCTGTCCTTGCGGGAAAGGACTACGAGGCCGGAGACCAGGTACGTGCCTTGTTTATTAGTACTTGTACATGTCACTTACCTTGCGTGCTTATCCAGGTTTACATTCATTATGGGTCTATTCCCAACCATCGTCTTTTACGTCTGTACGGCTTTATCATACCCGGCAATCCAAACGACAGCTATGACCTCGTTCTGGCAACGCATCCCCTGGCGCCGTTTTTTGAGCTAAAGCAGAAACTCTGGGCATTAGCTGGACTCGATTCGACATGCACCATCTCCCTTACTCTGACGGATCCGCTGCCGAAAAATGTCATTCGTTATCTGCGGATTCAGCGACTAGACGAGTCGGATCTTGCTTCAATTGCCCTTGGGCAAGCTGCAGATGAGAAAATTAGCAACTCCAACGAAGTGCAGGTCCTGCAGTCCCTGGTCGAATCGATCGCTAGTCTCCTGGGTAGTTTCGGAACTCGACTGGAGAAGCTGGAAGAGCAACTCGCCACGGGCGTCTACCCTGTTGGAGGAAACGCATGGGCAGCGGCACACGTTAGCTTGGGCGAACAGCGCGTATTAAAGTTGGCGAAAAAGAAGGCCGAAGACCTCTTGGCGACGGTGGAAAGCAAAAGCAGCAAAGACGGTTGGTTGCCGGCGCCGGTGCAATGTGCAAACTGCGAAAAAGGCCCTGGACAGCTGATGCTGTGCGGGAGGTGCAAAGCCGTCATGTATTGCGGGCGAGCATGTCAGGTGGCTCATTTCAAAGACCACAAGGCGACGTGCCGGGCTACAGTCTCTCAGAAGGGCTAAAGGAAATGAATACACAAACCAGCAGCGAACAAACGGCAAAACCACCCCTGTTCCGCAAACACCTTCCACTGTTGCATCATCGCAAGACGAGTTACAAGTGGTTTCTCAGGAGAAGGGTCAATCGTGTCTCATTTCGATTCTAGACAAAGAACATGCATCCCAGTACTATCCCAAAGCAACTCCCCACTTCATGCCTTGATGCGCAAAACAGCCTTGCCAAAGTTCTTGCCCTCAAAGATGCCCACCAGCCCCTCGGCAGCGCGGTCGATGCCCTCGGTATACGACATCTTGGCCTTGAAGCTGCCGTCGGCAAGCCACTGCTGCAGCTTCTCCTGATGCTCCTGGTAGTAGGCCGGGCCGAGCTCGGGGTTGGAGACAATGAAGCCCTGCATGGTGATTTGCTTGGCCACGACCAGCATCAGGTTGCGGATGCCGTGCGCCTCGCCGGCGTTGTTGTACTGGCTGATCTGAAAAGAAGATGAAATTTAGCAAACCACGTCTTGCTGGTCACGGAAAAGAAGCAAAACGTACCATTCCGCACGCGACGATGCGTCCAAAGTCATTGAGGTGATTGAGCGCCGCCTCGAGGTGCTCCCCGCCGACGTTCTCGTAGTAAATGTCGATGCCGTTGGGGGCCAGGCGCTTCAGCGCATCGCCCGGCTTCTCCTTTTTGTAGTTGAAACCGGCGTCGAAGCCGAGCTCCCTGGTGATGAAGTCGAGCTTCTCGTCGGAGCCGACGGACCCAATGACGGTCAGGCCCTCCTTCTTGGCGATCTGGCCGACCAGCTGGCCGACGGCGCCGGCGGCCGACGAGACGAAGATGGTCTCGCCCCTCTTGGGCTTTCCAATCTTGTGCAGGCTCGACCAGGCCGTGAGGCCGGGCATGCCCAGGGCGCCGGTGAAGACGGACAGGTCCAGGTTGTAGGGGTTGTGGACCTTGAGGACGCGCTGGCCCTTGACGTCTGCGATGGCGGCGTACTCGGCCAGAGGGGCGTAGGCCTTGACGACGTCGCCCGGCTTGAAGTCGGGGCTGTCGCTCTTGACCACCTTGCCCACCGTGTCGTTGACAATGGGGTCGTTGAGCGCAAAGGCCGGCGTGTACGACTTGATGCTGGGGTCGCGCATCTTGGGGCGCAGGTAGGGGTCGAACGAGGCGTAGAGCACCTCGACGATGAGGCCGCCCTTGGGGGGGCTCTCGAGGTCGATTTCGCGCGTCTCCACGACGAGGTCCTGGCCGGGGACTGGCAGGCCCTTGGGGACTTGCTTGTAGACGAGAGTCTTGTTGGCGACCATCTTGATGCTGGGTGCGGAGGATGCAAGTCGAGTTGATGAGCTGCTTGTGTGCATGGAAATACGAGTAGCTGGGTCTTTTTATTCAGAACATCCATGGCGTCATTAAAGTCTATTTAACCTCCAGAGTCCGCACCTGCCGAGTCCAACAGATGTGACATCCGCCGATTTCTAATCTGCCTTTCCACCCGTGGAGATTCGGATGAATCCCCAAATGGAGCCGTGAAGGCGCACCATGGCAAAGTCCGCCACGGGGCAAAAAACCGCCCAAGTGCCAGGCTGATCCATGATGCCGCATGGCCATGATCCGCGGGCGGCGAGATTTTGGGTTGCGCGACAAGCCACCCACTGCAATGCCGAGGTTGGCCCCGCTTTTTCGTGTGGGAGGGCAAACGGAGTTTTGGGCTCTTCCGTCGGAGTTGATAACTTGAGTTGTAATCTTAAACCTAGGGAGGGATTATTCAGCACCCCTCCTGGCGTAATCAGCACCCTTACATGTAACTGTGGCTGGACCCAATCAGCTGCCTGTGTCAGAATTTACTAGTAACTAATTTGTTGGATGTAAATGCGCACACAACGCCAACCATCAAGACCCACGATATATTTTATAGACTATAATGTATAATTTTATAATTTTTACTATAATATTATAAATAATAATAATTATTATAAATATAATA